ACGAACCTGCGATTAACGGCTCAAGCAGGTCCTTTGGACTGGATGGTGCTTATGATAACTACCGCGCGTTGAGTCGCTCCCCTTCGCCATACCGCCGCAAGCGCACCCCATCACGCTCTCCGTCACCCTATCGGAGGAACCGCGCCGTCGACCGATCGCCATCGCCCTATCGACGAAGCCGAGCCGACCACACTGGGAATGATGCAAGGGGCTACAAGCGCAAGGCCTCTCCGCCGCGCAGTCGTCCTGACAAGCGGTATCATGCTGATCGTGGCAGACACGGTGACCCTCGACGGGCTCCAGGATCTTACCAGGGAGGCTTTGTCAAGGAACAGAAGGATGTACCAGACCGATCACACGCCAGGCCCATATCATACGCCGAAGTCGAGAACCCCAACCCCGTGCCAGACTTCCGAGAGCCGCTGCCTACCGACAAGCGACCACAGAACTCGCGTCACGGAGATCAGCAGCGCGAGAAGTCTCGTCAGTCGCAGCCACAGAAGCAACAGGCACCGTCAGAACGCCCCAAGGCGAACAAGGCAAGCGTGACAGAAGATGTTGAGATGTAAGTGTACCTAGTGCCAAATGATTCCTCTACACAACTGACTGCAATAGGACCTCCGTCGACGATACGACTGAGTACACCCCGGCCCCTGTCGAAGAGAAAGTTCCCACTCAAGAATCGCGTGAAGAGAAACGTCGCCGCTGGGCTGCTATACGCGCCGCTGCTTCTGAGCAACAGAAGCCGAAAGACAGTCTGCTTCAGCAGGCTGTGCTGACGAATGCATCTGAAGCGGCAACCCCTAATGTCGGATCGCCAGCGGCCCACGCCGACAGTCCCATCTCACCGTTCGCATCGCCCCGTAATGGCGACTTCGACTCCGTACCAGCTTCACCAGACGTTATGGTAATCGACAAACAGAACGTAATCAGCGAGGGCAACAGTCCTGCGGTAGCGAGTCCATCCGCGGCGGATTACGACCCGCTACAGGACATGCTGGACGACCGCGATCGCGCTGCCAAGAAGAATCAGAACACCGAAGTATCCTCGGATGCGTACCGCGAGACCGACCCGAAAGCCCTCTCTACACTTCCAGCTGAGAAAGTAGCACCTGTCAAGAAACAAAAGAAAGAGTTCGACATGTTCGCTTCTGATGACGAAGACGAGGAAGAAGATGTCGGAACCGAGGAGGCTGTTGTTGCGAAAGGCACTGTGCTTGACGAGAAGCTGCTCGACAATTGGGACGATCCCGAAGGTTACTACAAGCTGATCAGCAACGAGCTAGTGGATGGTGGACGCTATCGCATGATCAAGGGTCTTGGCCGTGGTGTCTTTGCCAACGTCGCACAAGCTGAAGAAGTCAGGGCTGACACCGGAGATTCAAATCCCAGGATAGTCGCTATCAAGATGATTCGCCGGAACGACTTGATGAGAAGAGCCAGTCAGAAGGAGATGGACTTCCTGCGCAAAGTCAACGAGGCAGACCCACAGGACAAGCGTCACATTATTCGCTTATTGGGTTCTTTCGACCACAAGGGCCATCTGTGCATCGTGTTCGAACACATGTCGAAGAACTTGCGAGACCTGCTCAAGGAAGAGACCAACGGCCACGGCCTCACACTTCCAGCTGTCCGCATCTATGCGCGTCAGATGTTTCTTGGTCTCCAGCACTTGCAGAACTGTCAGGTCATCCACCTTGATCTGAAGCCAGACAACGTCCTAGTCTCTGCTGACAAGAAAACTATCAAGCTCGCCGATTTCGGTACCGCTGTCGACAAGCGAGACGTGATCGAGCGGACTGAGTACCTCGTTAGTCGATTCTACCGCGCACCCGAGATCATACTTGGTATGGAGGTTGGCTATCCTGTTGACATGTGGGCTGTGGGTTGCACTGTGTATGAGCTCTGGACTGGTAAAATCCTCTTTACCGGACGGTCTAACAACCAGATGATCAAGTCTTTCATGGACTGTCTAGGATGGCCTAGTGAGAAGCTGCTCAAGAAGGGTCTCGTCAACAACATTCTCGATAACTTTGAGTTGGGACCACCGCTTAAGTTCATCAGTCGGGAGGTGGATCAGTACAATAAGGTAAGCGCTTTTGTTCCTCTAAGAGGTAAAGCTAACGAGCCAAAGCTCTCTGTCCGCAAAATTGAACAGCAGAAGAAGATCAATCGCGACATGAAGACGCGAGTTCATGAGGCTGCCCGAAGCATCTCCACTGGAGGACCCACCGTGGGCGAGCTGAACGATCTTGCAGATCTGTTGAGCGCAAGTCTGCACATGAACGTCGAAAAGCGTCTATCGCCAAAGGAAGCTCTCGCGCACAGATTCTTCGCCAGTAAGAACCCCGCGCCTAAGACCGCCACACCTGCAAAGTCTGCTGTCGTCAAGCCACCCATGATGAAACGTGGCAATCCAGTTGGTACATCTACTATTCGTCGGTAAGCTCTACAACATGGATTTCAGCGTTGCAGTTTTCTTGACTTCCGGCGTTGTTTTGCTTCTTTGCTTTGAGCGTGAAAATATGGACCGTCTTCGAAGAAGGCGGCTAGGGCAAGGGCTTGGACTTTGGAGCATGAAGCATGAACAATTAACACAGGACCTGATAGGTTGCCTTCGGACTGGTTTCCAGTATCGAAAATGGCGCCTGCGGAGAACATAGAGAAGGGTAATCGGTCTACTGAGTGAGTAAGACACAGGTACCGTGGGGTCGGCCACCACTGGGTTTGAGTCTCACGGCGCTGCTCATTTACAACTTTCGACTATGGCTTATTTCACGGTTGCCGGCTTCACGACGATCAATGGAGCAGATGTGTGGTAGACTCGGATCGAAAAGTAAGTGCTGCTGTGCACTTGGCTTGTGGGTGGGCCTTCCTGTCAAATCGGCCTTGGACGTCCCTAGAAGGACTCCCAATTCACATGAACTTTTCGGTGGAGGAAAGATGATGAGGTGGAAAGCTAGTTCACATGTATAATACTCGGCACCTGGTATCTCACGATATAGTTAACATGATGCATGTGATGGAACAATCAATGTGCTATACACCTTGTCTATACTTCAAGCGTCAATCTCTCCTCTCAAGAACGCTTTGACTTTATCACCCCAAACGACCTGACGCTTGTAGATAGTCATGGCTGGTACGCTGCCCAGGCCCAAGCCGTCGATAGCTTCCGCAAGAGCCTGCCCACTTCCCCTCGTCCCTCAATTCACGTAGGGGATACTGGTAGGTCTTATTCTCGTTAGCCGAATCCAGCTACCAAAGCCAGCCAAACGTACCTTGAACGCAAAGACCAGTGCTCCGGTCTTTGGTAAACGATGCAACGTCTGCCTTTCACACCTTACTACTGACTTGGTCAGATCAACATCCTCTACATCCTCCATCTCTTGCTTCCTTTGCATCTCCTCTTCACTCATATGATTACCCTCCAAACAGAACAGCTCCCCATTCGTACTGATGCTCCAATTACTCCGCTTAACGATCTTGCCCACGGGTAGATTGGCAAAGAAGCGATCCATGCTCTTCTCTAGCTTTGCCGCGTACCCGGGGACGGGAGCGTGAATGTCAGCGAGGAGTTGGCCAAGTTTCGAGCGTGTGTTGAAGCCGCTTGGAAAGCAGTTTACAAAGGCTGTTAGTACGTATTTCGTCGGAGTAGTAGGTGAAGACGTAGAAGGAGAGGGAGTGAGTAAAAGGAATTCCGTGTCGATGTTCGCACCTAGGATCTCTAGTGCTTCTTCTTCGTTGGCCATGTGTAGTGGGATGAGGGTATCTGTGACGTGATTCCGCAGATGCTTGCCTGATTCTGTGATGCGGTATAGGCTTGGGAAGCGTTGGGGTAGATACGTTCCTATGAGCCATTCGTAGAGTTCTTGGACTGCAGGGACGGCTTCTGGGTTGCACGCGAGGACTTCGTGGCGTTCTTGTTTGAGGAGTTTTGTTCGGATCTGTAGACGTGTACGGTACGTATTATCCATTGCTAGGAGGTCATTCAGAGTAGTGTTCTCGAGGGCTGTCATAGCAGCGTTGTCAGTGCGTGTCATGGGTGATTGGGATTCATGATGGAGACGCTACCCATAGTCATGTGAAACTTCGGTTTGAACGGACGAAGCTTGAGAGGTGCTTCTGTTTCGAGGTTGAAGTTCGGGAGCGGTGTAATGGCATTGTATATGGCTTCTGGGTTTATAGGCTCGATTTTGTTGGTGTTTGGTGATGTTGTCGGCGACCGCGAAGGTCTCTGAATTACCGGTTGGTGTCAATGTCATTAAGGGAAGATGCAATACTGGGGACTTCGTACACTGATAGCCTTTTGTAGTCGATCTCGCTGGAACAATGCCAGAACGATTACTCCCGCCAGCCAGAATAACCATGCTAGCGGCTTATTGACAAGACTAAGTTGATCCATGGTTGTATTCGACTATCTTTCAAGACGTGTCGAGCAGATGGTCTGGATGTATTTGATATCTAAAGCGCCTGCCAAGGACGTAGGGCGTCGTTATGACATCGGGGAGAGTATGGAAGCATGAACTAAGAGACGCTACAAGCGCGGTGACTCTGCTATCAGTCGTGTTGAAGCAAGTGGGATTTGATTGCCTATCAGAGCTAACCCCGCATTCGGGCGGTTACGCTAAGATGTTGTACAAGGGACAGGCCATGTTTAAGCATGCATTCGTTAATCTTCACTCAAGACTGACCCAATACTAGGTGTCAAGGCGAACGATGAGCCGTTACAAGAATATGAAGATGCTTGATTTCACGTTAGAAAGCCCTTCGAAACTGAGAAACCCCCTCAGTCCTTGCCTACGTGCCTTCCGGCTGGATCCGTGTACATGCAGTTGCTTTGGCACAGGCTTGTAGTATATATGGCATGGCGGTTTTATCGGATCGTAAACCGTTACACGACCATGCGCGGCGACGCATGGCGAACTGCTACCAATCCTTCAGCCTCAATGAAGCAGCTTTAGTTTCCACAACAGCCTTGCTAGACGTCTGCCTTGTCGAGTCTACGCTTTGGTGTCTTCGGCCTCAGGATGACCGACAGGCACCAGCTTGCCCACAACTAAGTACTTTTCCTCGAATCTCTCCTCCCATCCCCTCAGCGCATCCATCTGCTCGGCATCCAGACCCTCGAGAGTGTCCAGCGGTCCGTCCAAATCCTTGGTCAACATGTCCTCGTCAAAGCTGCCACAGGCCAGGCCCCTTGAGGCATCGCGGCCAGCGAAGTTTGCATAAGGGCCACCAGGTCCGTAGAAGTTGCGACCGGATGTGACGTCAAAGACACGGCCACGGACAGCGAGGTAGACGGGCATATTATTCAAGCCATTGTAGGGGAAGAGCGAGGGCGGGGTGAAGGTGCGGAAGACGGTTGGCGGCGGCGCCCGCGGGAGGGTTTGCGGGGCGGCTGGCTTGAGGCGGAGATAGACGAGCAGACCGAGGAGAGAGAAGAGGATGATGTTTATCGGGGTGAAGACGGAGGCGCTGGAGGGCTGTGAGCGAGGTGTTGGTGAAGGAGCGGAGCTGGTTGCTTACGCGTGGGTTACCGCTGGCTCCGGCAGAGGTGATGGGAGTGCTATTGCGGTTAGCGCGACGTTGCCCCAGAAGGTGGCTCTTGTAGAGACTAACCATCTGACATGGCTGCGGGTGGTGTGCTACAGCTGTGCTAGAGGGGTGACAGTGAAGGGTGCTGGCGTGGTCGAGGGTCGGCCTTGGAGCTTTGAACGGCGCGGGGAGCTCAATCGACATGACAGCCGATGATGCAACCCCAAAGACTCTCTCAGCACTAACCAGCCATCCATGTCAAACTATCACGGATGTCCGCCGGTTTGACATGCAAGGGCCGAATCCAGACATATGTACAGACAAGATCATCGAATCGCATCCGGCCTGCATCTGCCCGTCAAAGGGGCGCCATCACAGCTGGGAAGCACGGCGGTGCATGTGAGACATAGCCACCGGCCTGCACAACCACGGATGATGACGGTAATCTTAGATACTTCGACTCCACTTGCACCGTGACCGCACAACCGCAAGCACGCGCCCATCTGCGCGCAGACGTTGAGCATCGCGCCGCCGCACCCAGCCCATCCCTGCCGCGCTGCCTCTGAAACAGGGCCCTCTCCAGCCCTGAAACGCGCGACAGCGATTCATTTCCACCGCCCTGGGACGCGCTGATTCGCCCACGCCGCCTCTTGCGCCTCGGCCCTATCCCGTCCAAACATTGTGTCGCAAACCAATTCGCTGCTGTCGAACCGCTGTGTGAAGACAAAGACTTGCGGCACCGGTGCGATATCCTGCCGCTGGCGCTTTGGTCGAGGCGCAGTTCGCGAGTGTTTGTGGGGTGTTCTCCTAGATGCACTGAGCCGGCACTGATACCCGTCGACAACTCTACCTCGACTTGGTCGCCCTCCCTCATTTACCAAAATTACGCCCTCGGTGCTGCTGCAGGGCCCGAAGGATTCACGGCTTGAAGCTTACGTGCTGTTTCTTTGTTTAACCTGCTGCCATCTACCACAACAACAACACAAACAGTCAACACAAACTCCACACCTCTCCCTTTACGCATAATTACACCCGGTACGTACTCATATTCCTTATCTCATCATCAGGTCTTTTGGCCTTGGCACCTGCGTCCTCGACATCGCCCGTTGGTTTATGCGCTTGCCATGCAATCCGGTTCTGGATGAGACGCAATGCCAGGTTGCACAGAAAGAGCTGGTGTTTGTGTCGTTCAGATACAGTAAAGGCATCTGGTAGTGGCCCTCCGCATCTCTGATCGACGGTCCATGTCTCTCGCCTATCGCCCGCACCGACAACCATCTCCACCAGATCTAGAACCAGGCCAAGTCTCGCGATGTCGATGGGTTTCAAAAAGCATCCAACAATCATGCAATCAGTGCAATGGCTCTCAAGGTTGCTGCGAAAAGGGGAGGCTTCCTGAAATAAGTAGCTCGGAGCCGCTGAGAATATCGCCTTCCATACTTCATGATGCTTATGTATACTTGCACCAATATCGAGCCGGGCTAATATTCGTTTCATGCAGATTCGCCCATAATGTGGAAACGATTACAGGGCGCCGTCCGAGATAGGGATAGGCATGCGCAAATAGGAAACCCCGTACTTCTTGAAACCACCTATGACGAGGATCAATTGAAGCGCAATCCCAAAGTGACCGACCTGCAAAATGGCAGTCACCATAATTATGCGCTCCCTCAACTATCGCAGTAAGTATCGCAATTTCGTTTGCTCACTCACCGCTAATTGTCTCGCAGTTTATTGTCTCCCCAGGAACCTCCCAACTACAGAGCCTCAGAAGTACCCACGGCCTCCTCCATCTACTCACAAGACACACTCTGCTACAATAACGACAACCCCACCGGCAGATCGCCCTCCGCATACGAAGACATATCGCCTCCCAGCTCTCCGGAACCGGAACAGTACTCCTCTTTCAACTTACCGCGAAGATTCCGCTCGATGCGTGACGTGTCACCCATGGACGACGATCGCAGAAAACTCGAAGACGATTCCCGCGCGGGCAGCCAGATTCCCGTCCTACGCAGAGCGCCATCTGTCCTACGAAATGGTGACGCTCCACCAGCACCTAAGCAGAAGTTCTGGGAGGGCAAGCTTGCGCCAAACGCGAAAGTGAAGTGGGATGAGTATTCAGGCGAGCCTAATAGTGCAGGGAAGGCCGCTTCAGTCGATCCAGGCTCTTATGCGAAAGGTGTGCCGTCATCAGACCCTAGGCCCATGGGGTATCAGGTTTCAGTCAGTGGTCCTGAGAAAAAGAACACAAGTTTTGGGGAGCGCGTTGGCCGCTTCGGGTCGAAGCGCTCACCACCGCCCGTGGAGCCGTGGAGCCGAGCGACGGGACGATCAGAAATCGCTCCTCCGCTCAAATACCAGCCTGCAGACAAACCACTTCAAATACCACGCAAGACGATTTCACCAAGCACGGACCAAGCGAGGTCAAACGCGCTTGCAGCTGCCATTGATTCTGCACCCAAGCTGCCTGACACTCAAACTGTAACAACCGAAATGGCGCCCAAGGATCCACGCGATAACGATATGCGTTACAACGACGGCATTAAACCCATTGTCCCGCTCAAAGTAGGGAAAAACACGCCTCTTCGAAGCGGTCACATTTCTCCAACCTCACCTTCAGCAGGTCTCGGTATAAGCACATCGTACCCGAGCCCCATCACACCAACCAATCGCACTCAACTGAACCAGTCCCCGGCCACCGTAGAGCCAGTAGAACAGACGCTTTACCCCACCTTGCGGACTGCGACGCCGCCATACAACAAAGAGACATCAGAGAAGGACAAGCACGCACCCATCAGCCGGTTTTCGTGGACTACCTATAACAGTACGGGGACATACCAACACTCACCACCACCTTCACCGCCCAACGGACTCTCGTCTTCGCAAGGAAAGCGCGTCGTAACCGAGCCCATATCGGCCGCTTCCTCGATCCTAAACCGTCGCCGCCCCGTACCCCCCTTAGATAGGGAACCCGCACCCATGGCCAAAGTCTACACCCCGAGCCCGAGATCCCCTTACGCCTCCTCCACCTTCTCCAACTCATCACAAAAATCACAAAAGGCGCTTCCGCTACCTCCTTCCCAACTCAGTGCCATCGACCACATCGCCTACTTGGAATCGCAGCAAGAAGATCTACGCATTCGTCGCAACAATGTGTATCGTTTGCTCAAGGACTTGAACAATGCTGCGCCGCCTAACCCGCTGCTTACCGACTTTAAGAAGGCTCGGGTCGCGGAAGAGAGGAAGAAGGCGTTTCAAGAGGAGTTGGATGAGATTCGCAGGGAGGAGCATGATGTTGGCCTCAAGTTGCATCGCGCGTGGAAGAAGAGGGAGAGGGATGATCCGAACTCGAACGGGAGCGCCCTGTGGGTGAGAAGGGTCACTAGCTAGATGCAGTTGACTCTGTGGCATCGAGTCGGTCTACGATGTGGAGGATTCTCTTCTTTTTCTGGCATTCGCATTTCACACAGCGTACTTGGCGTTACTTTCCAGGTTGCATCTACCTTGGCTCGAAGCCTTGTGGTTATCCAAGCGGATACGTTTTCTTTCAAATTAGCGAGACCTTAGTTATCATACCCCGAATCTCATAACATTCCATTTTATTTTGCAGACTAGTCGACCTCAGGCACAGGCCTAAAGATGGGTGTACGAAGTCAGTGTTTGTCTCACATGCAGTTCGTACATAGGCAATTACTTACAGTCCATTGACTATCATCATTCCCTCCCGTCCCAACATCTTCATTGCTTTTACCGCTTCGTCATGTCGTAATTGCTTCGTCTCTTCGTCCGTTACCAATACGAAATCGTATTTGAGCAATTTTGATCCTTCCTTAACATCATACTCCTTGGCCTGTTCAGCTGTTACGGTATCTAAGCTGATAATGAGAGATTCCTTGACACCAAAGACGGCGTCGGACGTCTCGTAGTCGGAACCACGGACGTATAATGCCCTAAACATGGCGTCAGTAGGCTGTGCAAACGAAGAGGTCTGAAGAGGAGACTCACGTAACCAAGTTATCGAAACCCTCTTTCTCGAACATGAAATGCATATGGCTAGGCCTCCAGCAATGCCTACCCAATTTCTCAAGCAACTTGCCAACAGGCCCGTCGTTGGGAATTGGATACGGTACGGGTACGATACCCTTGAACCAGAATACGCCATCCTTGTCACTCCTTATAACCGCACGGCCATCTGCTTTGTCACCCCTGTTCTCATACTGCACGTCGTATTTGCCTTTGGAGTCTGTTTCCCACACGTCGATCTTGACGTCTGATACGGGCTCGCCGTTCGTGGTTTTGACCGTGCAGAGGACGAGCAGGGACTCGCCGTCGGGATCGGCAGAGATGGAGGTGCCGTTGGAGTCGGAGGGTGCGTCGTGCGTGTGGAACGGACCGAGGACTGTGCCTTCGGTGGAGGAGGCCGGTTTGGGATGGTCTATAGAGTCTACGAGGAGAGAGAGGCCGACAATGTCTGAAAGAAGGATGAATTCCTACAACGTATTAGTACAGCTCGGGTGTCTTGGTCTTGTATCACGAGGATCAGATGGAAACTTACCTGTCGCACGTCTGTGCATATTTGTCCTACCTGGGTAAGGAACTGTATGCCTGCCATCCACTCATCGAAGCTTAGGCGCGTCTCGCGTGCGAAGTCGTGTAGATGCGACACCAGACGCTCCATGACGTACTTGAGGCGCGGGTCTGCGCATTGCGAGTTTATTCGATGCACATTCTCGGTGATGTTTTCGATTGTGAGATCTTTGAGGACGGGAACCGTGGAGGCGTCTGCGCCCTTGCTAGATGCCATGGTGCCGTCTGATGAGACGTGGACGTTGTAGAGGGTTTAGAGTCGAGATTGGGCAAGCTTCAGACGGAAGATGTCACGGTCGTAGAACCAAGCACACGAAGATGAAGATGACTTCACGGTTTCCAAAGGAAAGGACACAACAAGCTTGCGAAGCTATTCGAAGAAGGGAAGTAGTGCACTTGAAGCTAGCTGCGACATTGACGAACGAAAGCAACCGCGAAGCTCGACGCGAAAGCCGCCGAATCGGGCCCCATCTCAAAAGACGTCCGCTGACGATAGCGCAAAGCTCATAGGTCGCGCAACTGCGATGGACAGGGTTGCAGGCGCCGGCAAAGAGTTCAAGAGGTGGAGGTGATGATGTCGGAGGGGCTCTCGGTACCTGGATGCGGGGCGGGGCAGCTTCCAGCGCCAGCTTACCAAGAGCTTACAAGCAGTGGCGGGCGTTACCGGACAAATATCCTTCCTTTGCCAGTCCATATCCTCATCATGAAAATGCTTGACATGTCTACAGTTCCGCTCCCCAACTATCTTTCTTCACTCATTGATCTGCTCTTAATGACTGAACATGCGGCCTGTTGGCTCACTATACACCAGTTATGCCATCATAATTTTGGCTTCTTCATATGATAGCAGCTACTAGCTGCACTCGTGTGCCACTCACTATGCCCCGAAGTTCATCGACAGCTAGTTCTCGAATAGCTATCACGTCGACACCGGCCTGGTCATCTTCCGGAACACGGCACCGAGATTCGTCTCGATCTGTACAACTGCTTCGCAATTAGCCTAAAGGATCTGTGTCGCTCAAGCTGCAGGAACAACACAGTTAATACACGTGCATATGCTGAGAACGAGTTGGATCAATTTCTTCCATATTGCTGTAAAGCGGATCGTGACAGTAACCTATGCGCCGTGATTGTTCCCGCCCATCAACCCAAACGCCGGCCGCGTACCGTCAATCCATGATAAGACCAGGAAAGTGAACATGACTGAGGAAAGTGAAGGGTAACTCTTATTCTACTGTGTTCTCACAGTAGACAGAGGAAAGTGAAAGCTGTTGAACAACTCCATGTGAGATTAGACGTTGTTCTTGGGGTTCTCTGGTGAAGCCTTCCACTGTTAAGTGTTAGCATGGTTACTCATCATTATACGGAGATGACGTACCTTCTTGCCAAGCTCTTGCTGTTGCTCCTTGAAAGAGAGATCCTTGTACTCATCGCGGTGGGCCTTGACTGACATCGTTCGTTAGCGGATCGGTCGTCCCATGAGGTGTTGTTCTTGCGCCTGGAGGAACGCGTCCGAATAACGCGTCAAAACGCGTCAAACGATGCAGACTTACAGTATGCTTGCATCTTGATCATCGCGTTTCTCGCGTTGCCCTTCTTGGCGATGCGACCGCCTTTAGGACCAGCCTTCTTGACACCCGCGGTGCTGGCCGGCTTCGGTGTCGCAGTCTTGGTAGTGGTAGCAGCCATGACGAATAGCAGATACTGATTGAAGGTGGTATTAGTTTGTGAGCGGAGAAAGTGGGTGGAAGTAAGTCGCAGAGGTAGAGCTGTCGTTGTGGTGTTGATGAGAGGTGAGCGTGGACTGTAGGTTTATTGACAGAAGGTGCGACCCAGACCGCGCTAAGCTACACTTGGCCTACCACCCTACTTTATGGATTCGATAGCCTGCCTGGGTATTTGCGCGACGTTAGAAACATAGTCTCGCGTGATTGGCGCAGCTGTTCACTTGAAACATGTAGCAATGTGCGCCCCCAACTGTCTTTCAGAAGCAAGGTATGCGGCATGGAACGCATGATTGTGTCTCCGGAAAGAGACATTGCCATTGCGCGAGCCATGAGCTGACATGAGCGAAATTGTCGCCTTTATAGTCTCACTTTCGTTCGAAGTCAACCGCTCGTCAGACTATGCGGATCCTCGTGTATCTACGACGCAGTTCAATCTCGTGCAATGAATGCGCAATGGCTTCCTCGGTGCTTAAATACGTCGCCCTGTGGTTGATCTCCCGAGAAGTCTAGCACTCTGCAGAGGGACTTCCAACTTAGGGTCCCGGCATCTGAGATACCGAAAGCCGTGTCGATCACCGGTATCCGAAGGCATGCACAGAGGTCCAGCTCTTGAAAACAGCGTGGCAGCATTCCGCCGAACGAGATTCAATTGTAGGGCTGTCTCCAACTACGCTCTCAAGAAACATCTGCCGTCTTCTCTTCCGTTATACGACGATGCCGAGCATCCTGAGAGTCGGTGCCCCCTGTGATCAGAACCGGCCTTTCGATGCCTCGAGAGGCAATGCTGAACTTCCGACGGTGGCCACTCGGGCGCTCTGTGAGGCTGGGAGCGCGTGGTCTCGCTTTTCCGCGAGCGCGTCCGCCGATGACTGGTATCTCGTATGCGCCAGCGCGACAGCAGTATAGGATAAGGTCGTAGACGAGCAGCGCTGCCCATGGGCCGATAGCTACGAGGCCGAGAAAGAGCTATTCGGTATCAGAAGGCAGCTCGCAATTAGAAATGCCGAGCATTACTCACGAATATGCGCGTGATCCAGGTCTCAACCACGGCCAAGTTCGCAGGTAGAATAGAAAGGAATCCCATGGCGGGGCGTAGCGGAGATTGTACACGGACGGGACGAAGATAGAGATAAAGGGGCGTCAATTGGAGGTGCAGAGGTACGAAGGGGCACAGAGTAGTCTCAATCAACTGTTGACACTCAGTAGTCGAGAACACAGAATGCGGTTGATGAAGATGTGTGATGTTCAAGTTTAGTGGAGAGATTGGCCGCCATGAAGCCGCCTCCAGCGGCCGCCGCGAAGTGGATCGCGCTGTGGGCCGCTTTCCCCAGCTCGGCACCGGCACATCACCGACCAGACCCCCTCAACACCAACCACTAAACATCAGATGCAGCTGACATCTCAGCCCTATATGTGAGGCTGTAGAATGGTTCTTCCACTGATTGGATGCCGATTTGGCGTCGATTTTGCGAAGCCAATAAGACATGACAGCCATACCGGCACCCCTCCATGGAGACAGCCCCAAGCACCTCTGTTATTATACAACTCTCTTTTTATACACATTCTAGCACGCTGGATTGCACTCACTTCTGAAAACTGCTAGCACACCCTGACGTACCAGACGCTGACCAGCAGGCTCCCCAAAGACGGGTGCTTGGCTCTGCCCGCGTGCCCACGGTTGCCTGGCCCTACCCACCCCAACTTCTGAGCCTTGTCAGACTACCCACGAAATCTCTCCATTGAGTCAAAGGCTTTGAACTTTTGGCATACCTTACGAACTACCCAACACTTCGCACAACTTCTCAGTCGCTTACATCGGCACCTTGATTTGATTGCGACGCCTCACCAGCAGCCTCGCTGCTACACCCGGAGGCCTCACATTAACCACCAAGCTGCATAGCACTCCTGAGGGTAGCGCAGGGACTTCCAACTCGCTTCTTTGTGCATTCCCGTCCAAATTCAACATGGACGGTCTCTCCTTTTTAGACGAGCACATGGAGCGGGGCCAGAGCAATGCGACGTTGAAGATAGTCCTCCCCAGCGGAGAGGTCCGTCAGATCTCCGATCGCATCTGCCCGTTCAAGTTCTTGGACAGATGTCAGTAATGTCCCGTACAGTTGCATGCCAACATCTACTGACTTCGTACACCCATATACTAGGTCCGCTCCTGTACCACGCCTTTGAGTACGGTTTCCAGAGTCGCTTACAAGCGAGTATTGAGGCCCTATCCGAGCATGCTGTCGTCTCGCTTCTTCGGTTCTGCTACACTGGTAGCTATCTTCCGCCTCGAGCGGACTATGATCCAGTGTCGTTTCTTCCACATGCCGAGACGTACAAGATAGCCGAGGATTTCGATGTTCCGGAATTGCAACTTCTCGCGCATGGCAACTTCTCGTGCCAGCTCGAATTCGCCTGCTGTGTACCCGCCGCGCCCCATGACTTGGTCGAGACTATTCGTTTTGTATATCGTCACTATGCCAGTCAGCAGGCTCGTCGGGAGCACGACCTCGTTCCGTCACTTCTCAACTACTGCATCTCAAATTTCCTCTACCACAAGCTAGGAGAGGATGTTGAGTTTCTCAAGATCGCTGCTGAAATCCCGGACTTCCGCCAGGACCTATGTCGCACGAACATGGAACGCAATTTCCAGGATGAGTGTAAGACACTACAAGTAGATTCACATCCTACGCTAACTATCATAGGTGCATTCGACATTGTGCGGTTATGTCTCGACACTCTCCAGGTTCAACCTTGCGATCGTCCGACTCTCCTTGCGTCAAGGGACCTACCAGATGAGATGATGTGCGATACTCTTCCGGAAACACCCAGCCCTTCATGCTACCCATCTGGCGAGAACTTTACAGCTGGAGAGACCGATCAAGACAACATGGTCGATTCCGGAATCCTTACATTTGTTCGTCGCCCCAAGGTTGCACAGCCAGCTACGATCCAAGAGTCCGACGAGGAGTGTCTCGAATACGATCAGGGATTCACGTTGGTGTCCCGCCCCAAAGTCCAGAGCCTGAATACGTTCGACGAACCGATGTCTAGCCCTGAGTTGACTTCTCGTCCGGTGGTCGACATACTAGCCGCGACTGGCACCGACTACTCCAGCGACGACGAACCAATGTCCAGCCCCGAGTTGATCCCCACTCCCGTAGTTGATATACTATCCGCTACCGGGACCGACTACTCTAGCGATGAAGAGTGGACACAGATCTGATAGGGCCGATACGCCCCGTGGCTAGAGGGCGCTCTGGTCATGATGGCATGCGGCGTTATTGATGGGATATAGGTATCTCACGAAGTTATTGATATTGAATTTGCTTTGGCATCATGGTGTTTCAAGTTGGGTTTAAATTGTTTAGGAAGGGGCGTTTCACTTGTAAGGAATCACACAAGGGAAAAGTCGCATAAGCGCAAGAGTCTGCTTTGAGAACTCATTAACACATTGTTTTACATCCAAACTTTAAGAACTCTTGTACTAGAACATAGCAGTACTATCTGTTCCTTTTTTTCAATATTATCAAGTCATGTCTCTGAATCCACAGTCTTCACCATGCGCCAGGGATCGTAGTGTAATTCCCTCTATCCTCCGACACCACTGCCTGAGAAGCCCGTTGCGGCCTGGCCTCCCATCTCGAATACGGCACCATCTCTGACATCGCATTCCGCTGTACAGCTCTTCCTTGCGCGTCGTGATGTTTCCTCGGCGCATCGATATCGATACCAGAAAAAGCTCCACAGCTCGAGGTAAAATTTGGTCGTTGCGCCTGACCATGCTTCGCATCCTGGCGCTGAATTTTCTTCTGTCTGCTTTTCGTTGTGAGACGCACCGTGGGGAAGCACAAGCGCTGAACGGTTTCGATGGCTCTCTTATCAACGAGGTATGGATCCCATTGCCGGAGCATGCTCAAGACGTCAATGACGAAACTTTGGCAGTTGGTAGTGGCCACTTTGTATGTGAACTCTCGTAGAACCCTCTCTTTTGCCGCTTCAATCTTTCTGAACGAAGATTGTGCGCCGTGGATTATTGTGGCGTCTGATCCCTTGTCCATCAAATCACCGATCTTGACAAAACTCTCCCGGTTGCATTCGAAGACGTTCTGGTGCGAAGCGCTTCTTGGGAAGGTTTGGTCAAGAAGTAACGCGCCGCGGTTTGGTCGCTCGTTTATGTAGTTTACTTCCCATGTTGTACCAGTCAGCTGGTTTGTGCCATCGTCAAGGAAGAGTCTCCAGTGTGCGGTGTTGGAGCCTGGGCTTGCGCTGGTGAGGTAGAGTTGGCAGATTTTGGAGGAGTAGCGTGGGACACTGCTGGACGAGCTTGATTCGATGCTCTTGCTGGCTGAAGAACCCATATCTTCGATAGGGTAGAGTTGCTCTTGTCTTAATGTAGTGTTGGTTTGTGATGGGAGGATGGAAGAGTTGGAAGACTTTGGAAAAGGAGATGAGAAATTGCAGAGTATTTATGCGAGGCGAAAAATGAGTCAAGGGCAAAACTTTGGCATGTTATTATCTCGGAACGATCTATTGGGCACATGGCGGGTCCTTATATCTGGCTTGCATTCCTATAGGTAGCGTGTTAGTGGTCATAGTTGCACTATGGAACCAGAAAAAGCCAATGACCATGGCCAAAGTGTCCTGCAAATGACGTGCATCGGATTATGGATGACAGGACTCCTCATGGCTTCACAGAGACCTGGAGCGGATGGGGCAGATTTCGGGTACGTTGATTCATGTTCGCTGCAGCTAGTCTGCGAACAGAGCCGCCCATGGAGTACATGACAAACCATAGCCACAAATAATCAGATATACGAAGTCCATATGTACGGGAAGGACTTTTTTGATGTTACAGGAAAATTAGGCCACCTTATGCATTTGAGATGGCAATAAGGAATCCAGCATAAAGGAAACCGCCCTCTCGTAATGGCCAGTGGACCGAGAAGGGATCGCATCAGAAAACAGCAATTACATGGAACATCCAAATGAAACCGGGAAGCAGGAAACACATAATCAGTCTCGTGGGTCCATGCCGCACACTCAATCCTCCGTTCGTCTTTCGGCTCCGTCACTGCATAATCCATATCCGTGGGCATGATGGTCCCGGAGGTTCGTGTTCCAGGAGATGAGCAGTCTTCAGGAATGTTGACACTCACTTGATCGATATCAGCAAGTGCTTTGAACCAGATACGCGATGGACCCAACTTACATCGTGCGCCTAGTAGCGGCGGGGTGGGTAATCAGCCGCTGCACCTTCGTAAGGTGGGCGGCCTCCGGGGCTACGGGGACGAGCACCACGTGGGGACGGTGGTCGTCCGCCTTCGTAAGGGCGTCCATGACCGTTCATGTATGGGTCATCGTAACCACGGGGAGGAGGTCGGGCCCTAGCATCATAAGGATCGTCAGGGTAACGCGCGCGCGGTGGGCCATACTCATCAGGCATGCGACCACGAGGCGGCGAACGTCCATAACCACCATCACGCCTGTCATAAAACTCGCGGGGAGGTGTGCGTCGGCGATAGTCATCGCGGCGGGGGCTGTAGCCACGAGGGGGACCGCGACGGTCGTAGTAGTCGTCATATGGCGCGGGTGGGTATCCGCCACCGCGACGGCCCATGGGGGAGCGGGATCGGTATCTATCACGGCCCCGGTCATCAGGACCACCAGGGCCTCCGTAAGGAGCGCGAGGCTTGAAAGGTGGAGGTGGGGGAGGATCGGAGACGTCCTGGATACAGGTAACTTCCTGCCCCTTGAACTCACGGCGGTCCAGCTTCTCCACTGCGGTCTTCAGATCGGCGGCCGTCTCATACTCTACGAATCTGCGCGATGGTTTAGTACGTGTGCCTAGCTACAGTATGTGTCCACTCACCCAGAGCCATCCCGTTCGCGGCCAACTTCGGAGTAGACGACGTCCAATCCAGACTGGCGGGCGAAATCTTTGAGGTCCTATAAGTTCGAAGTTAAGCGAGGCCCAAATCCAGAATGTATAACGGGAAGCAAGCGAGAACAAAGCCATTTCTGGTCCAGGAACGGTGCGCTGGCGCTAACAGGGAACTGAGGAAATCCAATGATCGGGGAGTCTGACCTGCCAGCTGGTCTCCACAGGAAGATTTGCTATTCTCATCCGGTATGGTGTGCGCCTAGGACGCGGGGGAACGCGCTCATGGGGAGTGAAGTTCTCGTTACGGGCACGCGAGCCGCGAGCGAACTGGACGATGAGGCGCTCGCCCATGAAATCGGTACCATCTTTGAATCAGTTAGAGATGCATGTCCGGACACATACACATAAGAGTTACATACGGAATGCTGCATACGAGTTAGCACGTGTTCAGCCGATCGGCGCGTAGTTGAAGCTTACCAGGGACGACATCACGAGCATCCATTGCGTCCTTGTACTCGATGAAGCCGAATCCGTTCATGAGCTTGATCTCAGTGATCTCGCCAGTGCCGTGCGACGCGAAGTGGCCTTCGACATCGGCCTTGGTGGCATTGCGCGGGAGGTTGCCTAGGTAGAGGCGCGTGGACGATACCTCGGTCATGGTAGCGGCTGTTGCGGTAGAGCTTTATCCTAAAGATAACCTAGTCTGGAGAGAATCGTGAGCAAATATCCATGAGCAAGCGGGAAGCCATCGAGGAAGCGCGCATGGTGCCTGCCAGTGACGGGGTGACTCGGTATCAAAGACGCGACGCCAGAAAGCCAGTGTCCAGCGGCGTGCGCAACTACAGGAACCAGGAAGACGCGCAAGGAATTTCCAGTGCATGCAATACAGGCGGCTAGTCGTACCTTGGAGATAGAGTCGGGCGCTGGAAGCAGGGTGGCCGTGAAGAACCTGAGAGCTTGAGGACCAGGAAGAAGCCGGGTGAGTGCAGAAGGCGCGTCCTTGAATCTGGGGCACCGGAATTAGTAAGCCCAGTATCGCGACCACGAATTGCAAGTGCAGATGAGGGCCGAGCAGCTATCGATGTAAGAGGCCCCGGCGAGGTTGATGGGTGGACGGTGACGAAGGGTGGAGAAGGAAGTTCGCCCAACGCCTCACTCGCCCTAGCGTTCCAAGCTTCGGGCACGGACATCACGTGTGCCTTGCCTCGAGCCATGTATGGGACCGCACGACCTTTCAAGGCACCCAGTGAAATGTCACTTCTTTCAAGCAGATAGTTCAATGCTGTTTGCTCATAGGATCGTGTGAACGCAGTTGAATCCCGCCCAGGCTTCAACCGCGCGCCGAACAAGGCGACTGATCACTCGATCCCTACAAACCTCGGAAGGTCACTTGGGCAGCAACCATACTCGGGCTGACGTTGAAATCTGATATGTACACACACGGTTTGCCCTAATATACAGGTCCTCTCATTGCGTGGACGGCAGCTAAGCCATGATCTCTATCTCGGCGTCCGTATTAAGTAAGTACGTACTTTGGTCCCTCGCCACCTTGGGGTGTTTGCCAGTTGATGTCCTGGTCCGGCACTTTGATATCGCAAGTCTTGCAGTGGACGCAGCTGCATACAGTTAGCGGTCTTCTAAGTAATCGCGATATCTAGACCTACTTTTGGGCGTTGATTTGGAACCTGACGCCCAGCTCTTTGCTGTCGTCCTCCACATACTCGTAGACGCCGGCGGGGCAGAACCGGTTTTCTACACCCTTGTACCTGGGCCATTCTTTCTGGGCATGCGCATCGTAGTCTTTGACCTGGAGATGGCAGGGCTGGTCCTCCTCGTGATTCGTGCCACTTCGGCTGACGCTCGTCAATATGTCGAAGCTGATCTTACCGTCCGGCTTGGGGTATTCTATCTTGGGGCACTCGTCCGCCGTCTTGGTCGCTGCGTGATCAGGCTTGCCATGCTTCAATGTCCACGGTGCCTTGCCTCGAAGAACGTAGGCCTCCAGACCAGAGTACATGATACCTCCGTAAATACCTAGTGGTGTGTGGAAAGACGGGCGCATGTTGCGCACAGTCTTTAGTTCCGACCAAATTGACGACTTGCGCATCTTGTCCTCGTAGTCATATAGAAACACGGTACCGCCGTCTGCATTGGCTTGTAGGGCGTCCCAAGTCGCCTCAGCAGCTAACATACCGGACCTCATTGCATTGTGCGTGCCCTTGATCTTGGGCAGGTTGAGCAAGCCTGCGGCGTCTCCAAGCAGTGCGCCACCAGGGAAGGCCAGTTTTGGTATGGACTGGAAGCCGCCCTCAATCAGCGTTCTCGCGCCGTATGATATACACTTGCCGCCTTCCAGTACGTCCTTGTAGTAAGGGTGGTGCTTCATCTTCTGGAACTCGCCATAGGGAGCCAACCAGGGGTTCGGGTAGTCGAGCCCAACAACGAGACCAATGCTGACGAGGTTGTCGCCAAAGTGATACATCCAGCCACCGCCATAGGTATCCTTCGGCAGTGGGTAGCCCATCGAGTGAACCACCAGTCCAGACTTGAATTTCTCGGGCTGCACCTCCCAGACTTCCTTGATGCCAAGTCCGTAGGTCTGATGTTGGCTATCTCGCCTCAGATCGTACTTCTTGATGATTTGCTTCGACAAGCTGCCATGGCAACCCTCACCAAGCAATGTGACGCGTGCATGGAACTCCATTCCTCGCTCGAATGAGTCTTTGGCCTTGCCTTCACGCGATATGCCGAGGTCGTTGGTAGCTACGCCTTGTACGACACCCTCGTGGTTGTACAGTACCTCCGACGCAGCGAACCCGGGGTAAACCTCGACACCAACTTCCTCTGCGCGCTCGCCCAGCCACTTGACCATCTGGTTCAAGCTTATTATGTAATTGCCGTGGTTGTTCATCTGCGGAGGCTTGGGTAGAGGGATGGCGCTGTTCTTGGTCATGAAGAACATATGGTCTTCTTTGGCGGGGGTGATGTCGGCGAAGCGGTTCAGGTTGTCCTCTGATCTCCAGTCAGGCAGTAGCTCGTCGAGGGCAGAGGGCTCTATCACGTTCCCAGACACGATGTGATCGCCCAACTCGCCCGCCTTCTCCAACACCAGAACCCTGAAGTCTTCATTGCCGGCCGCTGTCGCAAGCTGCTTTAGCTTGATGGCGGCGGACAGACCTGCGGGGCCACCACCCACGATGAGAACATCGACCTCGTCCGATTCGCGCTCTATCGACTTGGGATCGAATGTGTCGTCTACGGCGGCGAGTCGTGTGCGTAGCGTCGTGGAAAGAGCTCTTCTTTGGCCGGCAATCCGTACTGCGGGACGGTACAGGCTGGATACGTTTCGTCGCGGTAATGATGCACATGCAAGTGGTCTTGATGCTATGCGCGTGGATCGCGAGGCTGCGAGCAACTGTCGCGTCGCGGAAGCGGGGACTGATCTGGTGGCCATGATGCAGGACGTGTTGGAGAGGCAAACAAATGTATTGTATGCGAAAGTAAGCAAGTTGACGAAATTTTTGCGCTTCCTACGAGTCCGACCGGCGGCGCACTACAGACTAGAAGCGACAGTGCTCAATACTGTGGAATGCGACAGAATTGCAGCATTGGACATGTACGCTCTTAGCCAACGCCAAAACCTCGACATGACGATATCCAAAAGTCGCAGCCGAGGCTACAAGGCTAAGTGCGGGATTGCAATACCGAGCACCCCATTGGCCCAGTCCACCTTCATTCCTTCTCTCCGCACATGTCAAAAGCACCACATCCGAATATCCTCTCTGTGCGATCACTCTCATGTCAACATCTTCACGCGCAGTAGTGCGCGTGCTCGGTCTCTCTGACAAATGTCTCGACATGACGCCGTGGTTCACAGGGTATAGCAACATCAGGGTACTCGCGCAGAGCAAAGTACTGTCATGCCTACCAAGAAGGCTGAGCCAGCAAACTGCGAAGACAATTTGGAATCATCACAGAAGTTTGGGCAGCAGCCTCCTGCAGTTTCTCATATTCAAGCAGTCGCTTAGGTTTTCCTCCGAGCGCGTCGGCGTGCCTGAAACCGGGAGAGAGTCAGGCCCTTGTATGCCTGCAAACCTCAGTCGTACACTAAACTTATGCGTTTAGGAAGGCATCTCTCCGCATAGATCGCCCCTGCCCCGTCTGCAACATGTTCTCAAACTACACACGTTCGACCCCCATCCTGGATCTTCGCCATGACGACGACTCTACCGGCATGGAGCTTGCGTCACCTCTTTCTTCCGTAATCGTACGCTCTGCTTCATGCGTTTGATTCGACCGTTTCCAGCCAAGCCAGGGACCCGATCCCATGTCACACTCGATCTCCCGCTGTCATGCGAGACAAGGCTTTCGTGCCTGTGAGAGAATTGTGGGGAGGACCGACGGTCTTCACTTGAGCCTGGCCTTTTCAAGGCATCCTCCAACGGCGCATGTATGACATGCACGGCAAGCAGCAAATGATCGTCCCAACAATCGCGGCCTTGTCTATTTTGGACAGAGTCTCAGTCAAGCATTCGTGGAGCTCAAATAAGAAAACACTCTTATATAAACCAGTCTCCTCAGGCGGATATCACGGCACGCTCAGCTTCAATCTTCAAACCATTCCTTCGTGCAGAGCACTATCTGTTTATTTCTATTCTCAAGAGCTGTGCTCATTTTACGTTTCGACACACCTCGTTTCAATCCTTCAAGATCAACCCCATACCATCACAATGAAGACTTCCATCTCCCTTCTCACTCTCCTCTCAGCCTCCTTCGTGGCAGCAGCTCCAGCGCCTTTCGTGGGCCAGGGACCTGTAGTCGCCGCTGGCACCGAGAATGTAGTCATGCCCTCTACAAACTTCGGTCGCCGCGAGGAAGACGTTGTGCAGAAGTTTGGCGAGAAAGCCCTCAAGCTCCGCGGTGCGCTCTTGGCAGCACGCGGTGGCATGGGCAAAGATAATGCTAATGCCGACGCCGAAGGTGCCAATGCTGAGGATGCTGCGGCGGCTGGCAACAATGGCGCTCAGGATCAGGCTGCACAGGATGCTGCCGATGCTGAGGAGGCCGCTCAGGGCAATGGCAAGGGCAAGGGCAAGAATGCCGATAAGCAAGCCGCTCAAGCAGGTACGTCTTGTCACAATCCTTTCCAAAGACTTCATTGACCCTCGATAGCCAAAGAGCAACAAGCTGCTGCCGATGCTCAGGCACAGCAGGATGCTGCCGCCGCCGAGATGATGAACCAGGGCCAGGCGCAGAATGCAACCGAGCAGATGGGAGCAGCAGACCAAGCTGCCGCCGATCAACAGGCTCAACAGGATGCTGCTGCGGGCATGAACCAAGACCAAGCAGAGAATGCGAACGACCAGCAGGCAGCGGACCAAGCGGCTGCTGACCAGCAGGCCGAGCAGGGCGCCGCCAACGGTATGGACCAAGCCACGGCCGACCAACAGGTATGTTTCAACACCCAGATCTCATATCAGAATGACTTATTGACTCTACCAGGCTGCTCAGGATGCCAAGCAGAACCAGGGTGCTATGGATCAAGCCGCAGCTGGCCAGCAAGAGGCTGCCATGGAAGCTGATCAGGCTGCCGCGGAGCAAGGCAACGGAAAGCAGCAACAGCAACAGGATGCCGTGGACCAAGCCGCAGCCGACCAGCAAGCCGCTCAACAGCAGGAGGGTGCTATGGGAGCCGACCAGCAGGCCGCCCAACAGGAGGGCGCCATGGACCAAGCCGCAGCTGATGAACAAGCCGCTCAACAGCAAGACGGCGCCATGGGAGCCGACCAGAATGCTGCACAGCAAAAGGGAGGCATGAACCAAGCCGCAGCTGATCAGCAAGCCGCAGCCGATGAGCAAGCCGCACAGCAGCAAGATGGCGCCATGGGAGCCGCCGAGCAGGACAAGGCACAGCAGCAACAGCAGGAGCTCGAGCAGGCCGCCGCCGAGCAGATGGCCGCTCAGCAGCAAGCCGACCAGCAGCAGAAGGAGAAGGACCAGGCCCAGATGGCAGCAGACCAGGCTCAGATGCAACAAGATGCCGCCAACGGCGCCAACGGAATGGACCAAGCTGCCGCTGATCAAGCTGCCGCTGACCAAGCCGCTCAAGCTGGAAGTAAGTGACATCCTCTCCATAAACCTTTCATCTACTAACAATCTCAGACGCTACTGGAGTCGTTGACGCTGGAGCCGCCGCCGGAGCCGCTGCCAATGGTACCGAGGCAAACAACGAAAACGGCAAGGGCAAGGGCAATGGCAAGAACAACGGCAAGGGCAAAGGAAAGGGAGAGGGCAAGGCCAACGGCAAGAACAACGGCAACAATGGCGTTGGACAGCTCCTCCAGGAAGCCGAAGCCGCTCTCCAGGCTGGTGGACAGCAGGGCCAACAGCAGGGTGGAGCCGGCGGTATCGAGGGCCTCCTCAGCAGCCTCCTCGGTGGCGGTGCTGGAGGTGCCGGCGCTGGAGCCGCTGCCGGTGCTGGTGCTGGAGCTGGAGCTGGCCAACAGAAGGCTGGTGGCATCGCAGGCCTCGACTTGAGCAGCCTCGGCATCGGACGCCGCTCGAAGAGGACCACCTTCCGTGCTTAGATATGAGAGACGACTGGGAGCTCATCGTTGAACGATGGAGTCCCACCACCCATGTAACCTTATGATTGTCACTGCTTCTAGATGAAGTATACAGCGAATAGATGAGTAGTAATGCCAACCCAAAATCATCATCGTTTCCCTCAAGTGCCTGTGCTCTGCCCCTTGGAATTGATTTACACATACTCTTCTCCCTCCATCCAGCCCAGCTGCTTCCACATATGCAGCTTATCCCACTCCTTGATCCATCCTTTGATCTTGCCATCTTCCACCTCGAAGATAGCTGCAGCATGCCATGCTGCCTTGTTCCCACTCGCCTTGATACCATTGTGTGCCTCGCCGCAGTGACTTCCACTAGCACTGTACCTCAGGCACACATGCCCACCTTTTGCGAAGATGACGTCGTAAGAGTCGATGTGTAGATCTGATACCGCTGCCATGACATTGGAATGCGACTCGGCGTATTCTTGGGGCGAGTTGACGCCGGGGAAGGTGGTTGGGGCGATGAAGTAGGCGTTTTCATGGCAGAGATGGGCAACGGTTTCGGCACCTTTGTTCTCCTTAGGTGAGTAGGCGAGGCGCATGTATTCTTTAACTATGTTGACATTGTTCTGTTGGGAGGTGTCAACGACATGTTGATACGTAGAGGTAGCTTTGACGAAGTCTTACTTGCTCCTCCTCGGTTTGAGATGTGCTCTGCTTAACGGGTGGATACTTTGTGTCTGACATTGTGATTTTTCCTGGCTTACCATGTGACGATGGTGACGCGGAGGGGTCATGGAGTGGCTATTATACGATATATGCTTGATGACGGCACGGCTTCATGATGATGTCATTCCTACAAGGCCTGAGACGATCACGGGAACATGATGGTACAGATACTGGATAGAAGGACAGTTTATTGGGGCTTGAGGTGGTGGACAACCGTAGCAGTGGAATATACGTAGTATTCTGTTACGTGGTCTACAAGTCGAGCGACGCTTTGGTATAGCTGCCGTGATATGGCATACGCTAGATATGCTCGAAACCAAACCAGAGTAGTAACCCACCTGAATGCTGATGATCCTAAGCCTTGAGCACTGATGTATACGAGGCTACGCGAACAAGCCTGTCCTTCTTCTCATACGCGTTCGACGCGTTGTCGCGTGGTCATGTGAGGCCCAAGAGAATACCTGCATGACGCTACTTGGTATGCGCGTGGTGCGATACGAAGGGATCTGAGCCGATGCCGCGTCTTTCCTAAAAGAACTATAGAAGGCATGCATCATCGTCGAAGCTTCGTCGGTCGGGCTTTGTGTGTCTGTCTACAATATCAGCGCCTGTTCATCTACCAGTGAAGGGCTGGCGTACACCGACGAAGCATCACGAGCCCTGGGCAAGAGCCAGGTCGAGTGCATCCATGCAGTCGACAGACATGCGTCCTATAATGGATCAATCGTAGTCCGGACGGCGTCTCAGCCGGTCATACTCTGGTCTCCGTCTGCATCCTCTGCCTGCGCGACTGGCCGACCGAGCTCCGCCAAGGAAGTCTTCAGCCGCGCAATACGCGCCTCGAGATAGTCAATCTCATCTTCTTGGTCCTCGCACGTGCGGTCCATGTCAGGCAAGGCCGTCACTGCGCGTCGTGCCTTTTGTATCTTGAGACGGATGTCGTTGGCGGCGGTCGCAACATGTTGGATCTCAAGAGGCCCTTCGGCGGCAAGCTGTGCGGGTATGGGTGTGGCTGCGGGCGGCTGAGCAGGCGCCTCGAGTATGCGCTTGAGCAGCTTGTGGAGGTCGGGGAGGATGTCAAACGTCGAGGGCGGAGGGAGGGCCGGGGTGCTCGCGGTCGGGGGTGGGGGCAGCGCTGGCGTTGCAGAGCCCGTGGGTGCAACTGAGGCTCGCGCTGAGGCGGGCGCATATGGCGTTGCGGCTCCGGACATGGTCGCGACGTCTTGCGAATTGGCGCGCAACAATGTCTAGCGTGGTGTTGCAGCTGTGGTCGCGACGACGCGTGGACGGGATGACGCTCCTTCCACGGGTAAGGCTGGCTGCAAGGGTGGTGATTGGATGGCGATTCCGTGGGCGATAATCGCTTTCGCTGTCTGATACGCGTTTCCAGATGTCAAAGCGATCGCCAAATAGCGCGGCTGCTGGTGTCACTCGAGATAAGTTCTGGCCGTGGGTTGTGGGGGGAATGTGGGCCTTTTGGCGGAAAGATTGTGACGTTGGCCGGCGATGCTTTTTTGAAGTCGACTGTTTTAGCCCCGCCAACCCTGCCCCTCCGTCAACAAGCCATTCACTGCTCCTTCCTCAACAACCCTCAAACCTTATTGCCTTGATAACTTCTTGGGTTTCATCGTTCCTTCTCCCCGGATTGACCTCATCAGCCCGCAATCATGGCCAAAGTCGACCAGAAGACGGTCCTCATTGTCATTGATGGCTGGGGTGTCGCGACTGAGAACTCGCGCAAAGATGGCGATGCTATCCTTGCTGCAGACACGCCCACCATGGACGAATTCGCAAAGGAGGGCTCCAAGACTGCCCAGGGTTACACCGAACTCGAGGCCTCTTCTCTCGCAGTCGGCCTGCCCGAAGGCCTGATGGGCAACAGCGAAGTCGGCCACCTGAACATTGGCGCCGGACGCGTCGTATGGCAAGACTCCGTCCGCATCGGACAGACCATTAAGAATGGAAAGTTGAAGGATGTAGACAACATCAAGAAGTCGTTCCAGCGCGCCATTGACGGTAACGGAAGGCTCCACTTCTGCGGTCTGGTTTCCGATGGTGGTGTCCACTCGCACATGGACCACCTCATTGCGCTCCTCAAGGTTGCAAAGGACCAGGGTGTCAAGGAGGCCTACATTCACTTCTTCGGTGACGGCCGAGATACCGACCCCAAGTCCGCGGTCGGATACATGGAGACTCTGCTGAAGGCGACCAAGGAGATTGGCCTGGGCGACATCGCGACAGTGGTCGGACGGTACTACATCATGGACCGCGACAAGAGGTGGGACCGTGTCGAGCTTGGTATGAAGGGTTTGGTCACTGGAGAGGGCGAGGAGAGCAGCGACCCCGTCGCAACCATCAAGGAGCGATACGCAAAAGACGAGAACGACGAGTTTCTGAAGCCCATCATTGTTGGAGGAAAGGAGCGAAGAATTCAAGGTATAACACTACGCTGAGCACCTGCATGTCTTCTTGCTGATTCGTCCAGACAACGACACCGTGTTCTTTTTCAACTACCGTTCCGACCGTGTTCGAGAAATCACTCAGCTGTTGGGTGATGTCGACCGCTCGCCCAAGCCCGAATTCCCGTACCCGCAGAACATCCACCTCACCACCATGACCTCGTACAACCCCAAATACACTTTCAACGTTGCTTTCGAGCCCCAGAGGATGACGGATGTTCTTGCCGAGACACTAGGAAAGCAGGGCGTCAAGCAGTGTCACGTTGCGGAGACCGAGAAGTATGCTCACGTAACCTTCTTCTTCAACGGTGGTGTCGAGAAGCAGTTCGAGAACGAGGAACGCGAGATGGTTCCCTCGCCCAGGGTAGCCACGTACGACCTAGAGCCGAAGATGAGTGCCATGGCTGTCGCAGAGAAGCTGTGCGAGCGCATCCAAACAGGCAAATTCGAGTTCCTCATGAACAACTTCGCGCCACCAGACATGGTCGGCCACACAGGTGTTTACAAGGCAGCCATCGAGGCCTGCACAGAGACCGACAAGGCTATCAAGAAGGTGTACGAACAGTGCAAGGAGAGCGGATACGTTATGTTTGTCACTGCCGATCACGGGTAAGTCCGCATCGCTGCACCTTTCGAGACAGTGCTAACAGGTTACAAGTAACGCGGAGGAGATGCTTACAGAGGAGGGCACACCCAAGACCTCCCACACTACCAACAAGGTGCCTTTCGTCATGGCCAACGCCCCAGAAGGCTGGAGCCTAAAGAAGACTGACGGCGTGCTTGGTGACGTCGCGCCTACCCTACTTGCGACTATGGGTCTTCAGCAGCCTGAAGATATGGACGGTCACAGCTTGCTTGTCAAGTCATAGGGTGTCATTTGTAATGAAGTTGTGAGACGAAAGTTTGAGATGCTTCGTCCTGAAAGTTTGCCTTCTTAGATTCATACACATATAGACGACACGAGCTATGATGTATAGAACCATGCATAGAACAATTTTGACAAGCAGCGACGCGCATAGCCATTGCTTTTCAGAGACCTTTCTTCCAGCTGTGGATTGATGGATGTTGCGATTAATGCTAGGATGATTGATCCCGGCTGAGCGGCTATGCGCTTGGCAACAGGGGTAAAGTCACCGGCGGGGAATCGTGTGGACCCCTCCTTACGTACTCCAGGGCGCGATAGCCTTCTTTTCGACACTCCCATGGCTTCGTAGCTGAATCCTCTATATTTACACTATTCGCGACACAGTTCATTGTACCGTCAACAGGCAGACTGGCCCCAATCTTGATCATCGCCAACACTATCCCGTCGCGTGCCATCAAGCAGCTCTACGCACGACCACCAACGTCGATCATAAGCCCATCGACTACCCTCAACTCGCTATTAACTTTCGCTATCACTACGCGATATCTACGCTGTGACACATGTTGTCATAACGTCACATCGCGCTTCCCCGACAACATCACCTGTCGGTTCCATTGTTTTCGAAACCCAACCTGAGGCATCGGTGCCCGACCACGCCCTCCCCAGGCCCTCGTAATCGCGACACGCACACGGCACGCCTACTGCAAACACTCCCCATCACGTCAGCTCTCTGAAAAGCGATTCGAACTTAACAATGGCAACTAGAACTTCCAACGGTGCGTCTGGAGCGCAGGGCGCGCAGACTGCGGCGCAAGTGCAGCCTTGCAGATACAAGACCGGCAAGACATTGGGCGCAGGCAGCTACTCTGTAGTCAAGGAGTGCGTGCATATCGACACGGGAAGATACTATGCGGCCAAGGTCATCAACAAGCGGCTCATGGCAGGCCGAGAGCACATGGTCAGCTCAGCCTTAAGCAACTGATGAACAATGAGACTGACAGGTACCAGGTCAGGAACGAAATCGCTGTCTTGAAAAGAGTATCCATGGGCCACAGGAACATTTTGACGCTTGTCGACTACTTCGAGACTATGAACAACCGTACGTGTTAGGCTTGCCTGGGCTGAATCTCCAGCTGACCTCTGCCATAGTGTACCTCGTTACCGACCTTGCGCTTGGAGGCGAACTATTCGACCGTATCTGCCGAAAGGGCAACTACTACGAATCCGATGCTGGCGATCTGATCCGTGCGACTCTTTCTGCTGTCGCATACCTCCACGACCACGGCATCGTACATCGAGACTTGAAACCCGAGAACCTATTGTTCCGAACTCCAGAAGACAACGCTGATTTGTTGATTGCCGACTTCGGACTGTCTCGCATTATGGATGAAGAGCAATTCCATGTCCTGACGACGACCTGCGGAACACCAGGATACATGGCACCTGAGATTTTCAGAAAGACTGGGCATGGAAAGCCAGTGTAAGATATACTGCACAACTTTGCGATCCATTGCTGACTCTGTTGGTAGTGACATCTGGGCGATTGGAGTTATTACCTACTTTCTCCTCTGCGGTTACACTCCGTTCGACCGCGACTCCAACCTCGAAGAGATGCAGGCCATCTTAGTCGCAGACTACTCCTTCACACCATTGGAATACTGGAGAGGTGTCTCCCTTACTGCCCGCGAGTTCATCCGCCGATGCTTGACCGTCGACCCCGCCGCCCGCATGACAGCCCATGAAGCGCTCTCACATCCTTGGATCACCGAGCTTGGCAAGAACAACGCTGATGGAGAGGAGGACCTACTGCCCACTGTCAAGAAGAACTTTAACGCGCGCCGCACACTACACGCAGCTATCGACACGATTCGCGCCATCAACCAGCTGAGAGCAGGTGGTGCCGCTGGCATGATGGATGGCCAGCGATCCGCTGAACCACGGAGAGGAGCCCCTCATGCCAACATTCCTCAACCCGCGGAGGAGCCTGATGACCCTATGGAGATCGACAGCAGAGGAAACGGCCACGGCCAGACTGAAGAGATGATACAGGAGCAAGAGCGGAGGATTAGAGAGACTCAGCAAGGCCTATGGGGCAAGCGATGATGAGCGTCATCTATGATCTCAACGTCAATTCTTTTCTCAGCACACGTTTTAGAGTGGATGTATTTGGCCCTCAGCGGAATCTCCTTTCGATCACATTTCATGTTCACATTAGCGAAGGCTGGCGCTGAAGCCCTTCTCTATGCGAATTGGTTTTGAGCAGCTCATTATACACAATGGTACCGATTCAACAGCACGCAAACTCTTTAAAGACGTGTTCTACAGAGATACAGCATACATTCGCGTCCGAACTCTCGATCCCCCAAACCATGATCTATCACACCTATCTCTTGAACAAACCTTCGGCTGACAGAGGGAGAGTATCTAGATGTTGTATACCAGGCCTACGTCAGCTCTGACCTCGTCTCTACACAACAACTCCCAGCCTCGATCCCAGTCGTCCAGCCCCTCACCCCACTTCAACTTTAGCATTCCCAAGTCTCTGGCCCGTGCCCAGAATGCCTCGAAGGCCGTATACAAATCCTTGAAGTATTGTTCTCCAGCCACCTCAATGCCCTTTTCTTGCAACAAACTTGCATTGACTATGTTCAACGAAGCTCTGTCGGCGAGGCGTTGCGCTGCTTTTTCTGGGTCTTGAGGCGCGACTTCACCACCGACTGTCACCAGTGTGAAAGGGATGTTGGTTGATAATGACGACAGCGCGGACCGCCAATTTGCGTTTGCTCCCGGGCGAGCGCCGAAGTCGAAGAGTAGGGTACGTGATGTACCAGAAATCTTGATTTGATTGACTGTGTCGTCGAAGTCGTCGTAGAGAACTACGGTGTCGTACCACCCCGTTCTCTTGATCGCGTCGATAGAGGCTTTCGAACTAACTCCGATAATGCGATCAGGTTCATGATCAACGGACCGACAGTTTCGGAGCGCATACGCAAAGCAGGAAGCTGTTTTACCACTCGCATTCAACAAGACAACCGTAGCACCTCCCAAATCGGCGTCCTCAGCGCTCCACTCCCCGTTTCCCGTGGGATGTATTCTCCTCTTTTGACTTTCCTCTTCGTCTCTCTGACAAGTGAAGACATAGTGGCAGAGATTGTGGCCAACGGTAAACGGGCCCATCATCAACGCTGCCCAACCCAATTGATCTCTTTCCTTCATCTCGCCGGCGGATTGTGGAAGTGGACCGCAAACACGATACCGGTTATACAGCTTCCACAAATGCTGTCTATGCGCATCTACTACAACAATCTGATCCTGAATCACACTTCCATCTCGTGCGTCTCTAGCTCTTTCTACAGTTACGTCCTCCCATTCGGTACTGCTCGGTAGATACCCGTATACGCTCATTCCTTTCTCGATTCCATCAACCGTGCTTTCTAGTATCTCAGCGTAGCCCCATGCAGCAACGCGACCGTATTTGGTAGGATCGTTGTACGTAGGTGGTGTTGTAGAAGGAAGCGGATATGTGTCGTACCAACCCATTAGGTGGCCGATGCGTGCGTAGGAGAGGTTGTTTGTTGTAAGGCCTAGGATTTTGGTACGGAGGCGGAGGAAGGAGGAGGGAAGGGGGGTAAGGGGTTTGGAAGTGAGGGGAACGAGATGATGAGTCGTGTAGTTTGCAAGGGACAGGATGTGCGTAGCTGGCTGGGTAGATAGTGTTGATGAAGGCATATTGTTGACAGGTTTAATGGTGAGCTAACCAAGATTACAGCAGTCTTTCCGGGTACTGATTGTGGCGAGCGCTGTCGGTATAGATATGGAGGCATATCTGCAACATCCTCAGTGTCGTATATCACTTCAACACGCGTTGGCCAAGACAAGGCTTATCGGAAACACTACTTAGTCCCCTGTGACTCAGATAGCCATCCACCCGAGGAACCCCTTACGGGCGTATCAGTCGATTGGAAGCGAGATATAGATGATGTCTAACCAATTGATGAATCCCCATGCTTACGGCCAAGAATATTGCGGGGCTCAAAAGGGCGTTCTGCTCTAACCAATCCGGGTTGGCAGTGGCATGCTTGCATGAGAACCACCACTCCTTGCGCCTTTCTCTGATCCTTCTATGCAAAGTTGTTATCCGTGTGCGTTCCTTCGGTGCCATTCTCCCGTTTTTCATTCTTCTTATCTCCGTCAACGACCCTGCCACCCACTTTCCGTCTACTTTGGACCAAGGCCTTAATTAGCGCGACTGTAGCTTCCCATCCTTCTCTCAGCTTGTCCGCACTATCACTTAGATCGGGTACGTGGAGGAACACGACAGGCCTCTCGTCTTGCTTGATACCGAAGTAGTGCGCTAGGCTGTTGTAGTAGATGAAGCCACACAAGAAGTTTCCAGCATCGTTACTAATCCGTACGTCGGGGCATCCTTCGTCGGTCGTAGTGCCATCAACAGATGTGTACCCCAGATTGGCTTTCCAGTGCGCGAGGACCTCGGATGTATCAAAGCTAGTGTTCAGTTTGGGCGGATACTTTGAAGATGGGAAGTGCTTTTCCATTTCAGAATCGTTGAATCGTTGGCCATCTACGTCAGGAATCTTCCCATATCCACGCCCTTGAGACCCTTGCTCGATGGCGAAGTATTTCCGTCCAGCTGCTAGGCCGATGTGCAGCACGACATCTGGAGGAGGGTAGAGAGGGTTGGCTGGTGGAAGGAGCTCGGGAACGAGATTGACGACATTATTGTATGCCACGCGGATAGGCTCGTAGTGAACGTGTATGTTTATCGGCGTTTGGTTCTTGGGTGATTTTGGTATCAGGGCCGGAAGTGTAGACGCAATCTCCCAAGAAGAGTTCTTTGGGAACTTCTCTAGAAAGGGCTAGGTTTACGTTAGTCATTTTCTTGAATCCACCCAACCGTCTGGCTGGAAACATGTCGATGAGGCAGATCAAGGCATGCTCTGGAACACCGGAATGTGAGAAAGTTGATCCAGGTCTCACTCAAACATGATTGGGAGGCCTTGAATTGATTATCGACACAGGAAAGAGATTAAAACTTACTCCAAAGCCCGTAACTAAGACTGTGACTGGCTTCTCCCCCTCTTCACTCGGAGGCTGTGGAGCAGCGTAGGATGTAGGCGGCATCGATGATCGGACTTAGCGGGAATTAGAGGTACTAAACGCAATCAACCAGGCAGTATTGAGGATGAACTATTACGACGTTAGTACCTGCAGCGGGTGTTTTTGTGTCAGTGGGTCGAGAAGGGTATTGCCTGTAATGATGATGTACAAAAGAGCGACTTGATGACGGCATAGAGGCTAGGACGAAGGTCACGTTTACACCTGCCTAGGAAGGGACTTCACACACGCGCGAACAGCAACTTACGATTATCGGAAATTCCAGATGGGTCAGGGATGCACGCCCATTGCAGATCGCGCTTTCAAAAGGCATCGTGGCCAGGTCGTGTTCGGCACTCGGTTAGGTCGAAGCGGCATCTTGGTCTTCCAAATGGTTTAGCGCCAGCCAGAATCCCTGGGGCCCTCGTGCGATGCCTCAACCGCCGACTTTGTTCCCGAATGCTTACCCCACATGTTTACCTTCCAGACCCCACATAGCAGCGCGTCGCCTATCGCCACCAGACGCTTGCTCTCTCGGATGGGGTGTTCTGCAACGCGCTCGGTATCGGGTAGTGCACTTGCTAATATGACGCGTATGCCGTCGCGTGTTAGCAAGTGGATGATTTGTTATTTGGGTGCTGCAGGGCTATTGCATAAGTCCGCAGTCAATGACGTTGAGTGAGCTGTCGTCTCTCATCGTCCCGAGGTCGGTGTGACTTTCGGATCAGAACCAAGGTAAGTGCGCATAACGGTGATTGGCAAGCGTCAAGTTCTCTTTCCATTGCACGATGCAGTCGCGTCGTTGATATCAAGCTAACAGCACATTGAAAGACAGTTCCCCCAACCGCACGCCTATACACTCGGGACATCACAATGGCTTCCACGGGCTCGTCTTCGAAATCCTACTCGCTCGCCGTAGTAGGCGGTGGGATATCCGGCCTCTGCCTCGCCATAGGCCTCCTCCAGTACGATATCCCGCTTACGATTTACGAAGCCGCACCACACTTTGGCGAAATTGGTGCTGGGGTTGCGTTTGGACCTAATGCCGGCCGTGCCATGGAGCTCCTGTCTCCTAAAATATACCAGGCTTTCTTGAAATGCAAGACAGGCAATGCGGACAATTCCAAGTCCGACTCATGGTTCACGATACGGGTGGGTGATGCTAGGAAAGAAGACAAGGAAGGATACGTGAGGGAAGGCAAGAAGGTCGGCGATGCCCTGTTCGATGTGCCTATGCACTCGGGAGGAGGACGCGGCGGCGTGTACAGAGCCCACTTCCTTGACGAACTCGTCAAAGAGATGCATGACGGTGTTGCCAAATTCGATAAGAGACTTGTAGAGCTGGGCGAGGCTCAAGATGGCTCTGGAGATGTAGTGCTCACGTTCGCTGACGGTTCCACCGCACAACACAGCGCTGTAATTGGATGCGACGGCATCAAGTCTTTAACGCGAAAGTGGCTAGTTGGGAGAGATAACCCTGCCTCCAAGGCTGTATTCTCCGGAAAGTACGCTTATCGAGGGCTGATACCTATGGATGAAGCTGTGGAGATACTGGGCGATGATGCAGCGCGGAACAGCCAGATGTATCTTGGATACCATGGCCACTTGCTCACCTTTCCAATTGCGCATGGCAAAACGATGAACGGTAAGGCTAGTCATCGTCCAAAGTGCTGTCTTGCTAACAGCCACAGTGGTTGCATTTAGCTCTCGCGATACCTGGGAAGACGAGAAGTGGGTTGTGGCCACATCGAAACAGGAAATGGAAGACGACTTCCAAGGCTGGGGCCCACATGTCACGAAGATTGTCAAGGCCATGCAGAAGCCAGACATCTGGGCGCTGTTCGAGCATCCACCCTGCGACACATACACGAAGGGCCGCGTTTGCTTGCTTGGAGATGCAGCGCACGCGACCACGCCTCACCAAGGGGCTGGTGCCGGCCAGTGTATAGAAGACTCTTACATCCTCGCCAATCTGGTCAAGGACGCGAACGACGTCAATGGTTTGCAGCGAGCATTCAGCGCCTTCGACCAAGTCAGACGAGAGAGGACGCAGAAGATCGTGAAAACAAGCCACGAAGCTGGTCAAATGTATGAATTCGAACTGTTCGGGGACGACCTTGACAAAATTGAGGAAAGCTATAAGCATAGAATGCGATGGATCTGGGACATTGACTTAGAGGCGCAATTGGAGCAAGCGCAGCAGATCATGAAACAATGAAATTGAGATATGTTCCCCAAGTTATACTCCGGTCGACAAGTCTCGATGCTCGACAAAGCCTCGTGTCTAATCAATGACATCATCTCTCAGAGCAAAGATCTGCTTCAACACTTCGTCTGTCTTGGCACCAATCCCGTTGTGATACATTGTGTTCGTGATGAAAGTCTTGCAGCCTTTGATGGTGTTCGCCGTCTCCATACTCAGATCGAGGTCAACGTACATGTCGTCCATGTAGACTGCAACATAGGCCGGTACCTCGTTCTTTCTCAATTGCTCTTTGTCGTACAGTTGCGGCCAATCTTTCTCTTCAGCTAAGAGGTTACCAACAGTCTTGAGCTTAGCGAGCTCCGGGTAAACATCGAACATGAAAGGGTAGATCATCTCGCCTGTGAAGTAGACAGGCTCATCTCCATCTACGCGCGAGAGTGAGAACTCAGGATATTTCGGGAGTAGGCGCTCCGCAGACCAATTCGAGGCCTGGCCTTGACAGTAGATGGGTTCATGGAGGAGAGCATAGATGACGTTAGAGTCCCAGCTCTGCGCTGCCTCCAAGGCGAGTACATTAGGTCGTGTAAGATGTCCGAATTGGGTCAGATCGGTATCGGCGCGAAGCACAAACTCGTGGACGTCATCGAAGCCTCCGTGCTTGCCAAAGTAGATTCCCAGTTGTAGAAAACGACGTGCAGAGAGATGGCCTTCGCCGCCTTGTACACGCACCGTAGTATCTCCGAAACGGGAGAGAAGCTTGACAATGCGTTTGACGCGGTCGACATCTTCGGGATACTTCGCGTAGTATCCCTCGTTCCTGCTCTTGACACGCGCGTAAAGCCGCTCGTAAACTTCATCAGGCCCGTCTCTGAGGGGTGGCAGGCCGCCGAACAGGAACGCCTCTTTGACTCCTTCGGGGAAGAAAGACAGATAGGTCAAGCAGCAGAAGCCGCCGAAGCTCTGACCCATGATACTCCATTTCTTCTTCTCTTCGGGATAGTCTTCTGTCAGGGCTTTCCTTACAGCCTCACAGTCTTTGACGATACTATCAGCCCTGAAACTCTTCATATACTCTGCTTGTACCTTCTCATCGCCTCTCAATTGTAGACTTGACTGGCTGATGGCAGTTGAGAGACCAGTGCCACGTTGATCCAGCATGAGCACTTGGTAGCCTTTTTCGAGAATGGTCTGGGTCCAGGATACCTTCTCGGGACTACGACATTCGAAGCCCGGGCCGCCCTGTAAGTAGACGAGCCATGGGAGTTGGGTTTTCGTGCGATCGAGGTGCGAAGTGGGTGTGTAGTCTGCAGGCTTCTCGGCTTTCAGAGCCGAGCGAGCGAAGAGTTGGATCGTTCCTGCTGAGGGGTTCGCTTCGAGATGGAACTGTCAGCACAATCTTTGTCATCGCTCAATTTTCAGATCAGTTGCCTTATCCAAGGCCATAAGTTTCAGATTCATCTGTTGTCTAATGAATGAGAGGACTGCATACAATAATCTCTGGGTACCTGGAAGAAGTGCTCCGTTATCCGGAGCTTGCCTATCTGTAATTAGCCATGAGTCGTTGTAGATGAAACAGAAACACCGTAATTACCAGGCACCAAGTGACTTCTCTGCTCGAGGATCTTTGCTGCTTGTATCATATTTGTAGTTGAACAAGTGTCGGGTGCAAGGTGGGGAGTGAATGTATACGGTCTTATCGATAAGCCCCCAACTCCGTAGTGCCTGCTCCGAAGGATTGGCGATATTGAAGGCGCTGCACGCGACAATCCGCAACCGTAAGTTTGCGCTTAATCGTTACAATAATTACGATTCAAACACTCTAGCCTTGGTCGACCCGTCATTCGCATCAATAGGAACAAGTTGGTGTATCATCAACGTCGGCGCTGGGAAAATTTACAACTGAGGGGCAAACGCGGAGAACTTTCCACCGCAGACCGAGTAGTCACCACACTGCCTTTACACAACTGCGTCGTCTCGTTTTCGAATCTGAAACATGGCTAAAGATAAGAAGAAGGCGGCAGCGGGAGGCAAAGCAGCAGCTAAGGCTGCAAAGGCTGCTAAGCAAGAGAAGAAGGCAGGCAAGAAAGACAAAAAGGTCGCATCCAAAACACAGGAAGTCGACTCTGATGCGGAAGATGTTGACCTGGATGATATCTTAGCCCAATATGCAAAAGAGCAGGAACAACACCATGCTATCACCGAAATACCCGCTGAGCCGCCGTCTGCCCGAACTTCGAGCACCCTCCTCGCCAATCCAGCGAACGAGAATGAGATCTTCTTGTTCGGAGGCGAATACTTCAACGGAGCCACCGCCAAGTTCTTCAACGATCTCATGATTTACAACGTCAAGCAGGATTCTTGGAAGCAGGTCACAAGTCCGAACTCACCACTTCCTCGATCTGGACACGCTTGGTGTCGCGCTGCCAACACGAAAGAAATCTACCTGTTTGGTGGAGAGTTCAGCTCTCCGAAGCAAGGGACCTTCTATCACTACAACGACTTCTGGAAGCTCGATCCGGTCTCTCGAGAATGGACGCGCATGGAGGGAAAGAGCAAGACCGCTGCCCCACCAGCACGGAGTGGACATCGCATGGTTGGCTTCAAACAGTACATCATCTTATTTGGAGGTTTCCAGGATACGTCTGCGACTACCAAATACTTGAATGATCTTTGGATCTACGACTGCGTCAACTTCTCATGGCACACGCCAAAACTGCAAGCAGCTCGCGCAGTACCAGATGCACGATCGAGTTTCAGTTTGTTGCCGCACGAGCAAGGCGCAGTCATCTATGGCGGTTACTCTCGTGTCAAGACGCAAGCTGGTGGCAAGCAACAGCAACAAGGCAAGGGCAAGAAGAGCAGCAGTGGCGGTCCGGCATCGCGCATGGTGCTAAAGCCTAAGGTTCACGACGACACCTGGTTCATACGTATCACACCACCACCTGCTGATCAACCATCCACTACCCTTCCAACTGTGTCTTGGGAGAAGCGAAAGAAGCCCGCGAATGCGCCAAATCCACCACGTGCAGGTGCGACAATGGCTTACCACAAGGGTCGCGGTGTTCTTTTCGGTGGTGTGCATGATGTAGAAGAGAGTGAAGAGGGCATTGACTCTGAGTTCTTCAATCAGCTGTTCATCTGGAATGTCGAGCGCAACCGATATATGCCACTCACTCTACGTCGGCCGAAGCTGAACGCAAACAAAAAGGCTGCACAGCAAGCGAACATCAGCCGACGGGATCGTGGCAAGGCCGCAGAAGAAGAGCTGCTGGCTAATCTCAAGGCTCTCGAAATGAAAGCCGGTGTAGTTACAGATGCGGATTCTGACGACGAAGCGAAGAAAGCGAAGGAAGAGGAAGAAGAGGAAGAGGCACGTCCAGAGAAGCCGAAGATATTCGAGTTCCCACATCCACGTTTCAACGCCGCACTTACGGTTCAAGCTGATACACTCTATATCTACGGTGGTACCTACGAGAAAGGCGACCGCGAGTTTACCTTTGACGAACTCTGGTCTGTCAATCTCAACCATCTGGATGGTGTCACCGAAATCTTCAAGCGCGAGCTCGAAGACTGGCAAGGCAGTGAGGATGAAGCCGACTCGGACGAAGAAGACGAGGAAGACTCTGAGGACGATGAAGAAGGTGAGGATGACGACAAGTCTGTATCGACAGCACCCACGAGTGTCACAGAATCCCCTGCCGTTGCACCCATTCACTCCGAAGACCTTGGTCCTCAGGAAGAGATATCCGCGCTCACCGACACGCTTCCACATCCCCGTCCCTTCGAATCCTTGCGCGACTTTTACGCGCGCACTTCAGAGCAGTGGCAGAATATCATCCTGGAAGAGTTGGATAGGAAGGGAAAGAGCGCAGAGAAGAGCCCGAAGGAAGTTAAGAAAATGGCATTCGAGAGGGCAGAGGAGAAGTGGTGGGATTGCAGGGAGGAGATTCGTGCGCTTGAAGATGAACAGGAGGCAGCGGGCATCGGTGAGGTCGTTAGTCTGGCGGATAAGGAAGGCGCTGGGGTGGGAAGGAGAAGATAGTACCAGACACGAGCTTGGGGAAGTTGAAGCTTGGCATGTACATATTCTGCTCGAGAACAAAAGTCTACTTCAAGAAGTAAAAACGCTATCGCCTCATTTACATGATGGCTTCAACGACTTCAGACACCCAGTCTAGCTGAACTGAACTGACACGCTTCGCCCACGCCTTGCCAGTAAATACAAACTCATTAAACACGATAGCCTCCAACTTCTTCCCAAACAGCACTGAGCTGGGATGAATCGCCACCGTTTGGTTACCGATCATCGTCTTGTAGCTACCATCTGGCATCAATCTCGCTGTATTGGAGATGAAGCCGCGCAGCATGCATGCCAATATGGCTTGACTCCTAGCTTCCGAAGGTGCATTATCGGACTCTGCGTCGTCAGCCGAAAGCAGCTTCTGTTGTCTACATTGTTCCCGCAGTTGCTTCCTGATGTTCATTACGTTCTCCATTGCGCGGTGGGATACGTAGTGCTTGTCACACCAAGCACGACGCTGTGACTTGAGTTCAGCGGCGTATCGCTGAACAGTAATGAGAAGTGTGAGGTGATCGCCTTCTCGACGATGTAGCTCACGCCGGACTTCCTCTGCCTCTTCCTTGCGCTCTTCGGTGACAAGATTCAGGAAGACCTCCTCGACGCTGAGTGCGGATATGATATCGATCACGTCGAGTAGGCAATCGCGCTCTGGCTTTGCTGCTTCGACTAGCACTCGGCCTAGCGTGGGCGTGAGCGGGAACTTGGCAATCTTGAGACCAATGTCGCTAATTTCACCGGTGTCTGTCAACGCTTGCAAGTGCAGTAGTTGCAGAAGAGCCTTCTCTAGAGCTTCTCGTGGTGGCCGATCAAGGAATGGGAAGCCGAGTACGTCATCGATACCTCGCGCCTTCATTGTCAAAATAGCCTGACTGAGGTCGCAACGCAAAATCTCAGGCGTGGTACGTTCTTCCATAGATTCGTAACCGTTTTC